ATTTTCTCCAGCAAAAAAGGGATGTGTTCATATGGTTGTACTGGATTTTTCTGTTTTCATATGTAAATTCAGTTATGTTTGCACCTGAGACAGAAGCCTTTGTCCTGTTTTATGATGTTGGAATGAAGAGTCTAAACACTGTTTCAATACAGTAGAGAAGGCTAAAATGGCAGCAACTGTGAAGGGTTTTTGTTCCTGGTGGTCACTTTGACATTTGTAAGCATGACACAACAATAAAAAGACATGCTCAGCTAAAGACTCTACCACCATACACTAACATAACACTTGAACGTAAACAGAGGAGCGCAATAATTTTTTTAAATTATACTTGTTACATTTAAGTTAATAAAAATATACAGTAACTGTATGAAATAGACACATAATATTACTTGATATTAACCACGAATGGAATCAAAATCGCATCACGGCGTATTTTGCAGCATCTGCAAACATCGGATCACTGGCAACGAGAAACGATATGGAAATCCAAAGCTAATTAAAGATGTTTGGTGATGGGACGTCAAAGACAATGGGATTTTATGACCTACTGAGGGACTACTGTTAAAAATTATTTTAAAAGCCTTTGCTGACAAAATCTATTAAACATTAGTAAAATTCTAGAGTCCCACAATGTTATACAAACAACACCTTGAAGTTAAAAATGACTTTGAGAATGATGTAAGAGACGAGCATCAGTGTGTTTAATCTGTGTAAAGACTAGTGTTGGTTGACGTGTGTGCCATCAGACAGCTGCAAGTGATCAGTGTGCTAGTGTTTGTTATAACATGCAGCACTCATTTGTAAGCTCAGCCTTTCAAAATTAAACTTCTGAAAAGCTTGTGGTCTGTGGCAATGTGCAGATACTTAAAAACAATAGCAGTGTGCTGAAATAAGTGACTGTGGAAACTTTGATGGGCTGAAGAAAAACCAGATTTTAGTAAAGTACAGTGAAAGTCACTTTTACCCAATTTATCATTTTACAGTGTAACCTCTGCATTTACATACTGTACCTTAAATTGCATTTTAATCAACTATATAACAGGTTTAGCCTATACAGACAATAACAAATCAGTAGCCTACTGCTGAATTGATATATGCAATATTTCCGATAGCAGAGAAAACTTTCGGCAGTACATGTAACATTTTACAGCCTCTGAGTTTTCTTACAACTTATACATACTGTATATTAGGCCCCATTCCTCAAACTGCTTACCCAGTAAATCTGGAGAAAACCTTACTGACTTGGTTAATGATATTAATGTGCAGTACCTTTGGCATGATTGATACACTATGAGCTAAATAATGGCACATATCGTGAGGCATTGAGGTTCACCAGCAGTTTCATGTTGCTAAGTCATGTTAAAGGGTGAATAACATTAAATTCTATGGCATATTATGCCCTGGTAGGCTAGTGGTTAAGGCGCAGCGCTCTCGCCGCTGCTGCCTGGGTTTGAATCAGGGTTGCGTCAGGAAGGGCATCCGGCGTAAAACACGTGCCAAATGTCAACATGCGAGTCGTCACTGTGACGATTCGCTGTGGCGATCCCTAAAAACGGGAAAAGGTGAAAGTGACTTTCTTTCATTATGCCAACTAACATGTCACTACCACAGAGATTTTATGAGCCTCTCTCCTGACTTCAATAAGCGAACTGTTCTAATATGTTCTACATCCATGAAACACAGACCTATGTGAGTCGCTGAACATGAACAAATGAATGACTTAGTGACCATTCCAAAGATCACTCATCAGATCTGCCAGGCTTGAGAAGACCTGATGGATCTAAGAGCTTCATCACATCTGATGAGGGCGCACCGACACCTGTGGCCATATAACAAATACAGGGGGCTTCACAACCAAACAAAAGGGCAACGACAGTCATGGCTGTCATGAAATTTATATGCCGGTTATAATACAAAATTAACAGCTGTTCAATATGGGTAAAAAGAGAAATTAAACTCCTGATAGGGTCCTTTTCACCAATTAAAGTTATCCGCTTTGCTTTCCAAGCAAGAATAATATTGATGTAGTTACCTTTAGTAAAATATACTGTATAATCCACACAAAGTGAAAAGACTGGTTAAACTGTTGACAGTGTGTTTGGGAGTGTCCAGTTAAATGATTTTAACAAATACCTGACCATTAATTAAAAAGAAAAAGAAAAATCCATAGCTATAGCAGGTGTAACAACACTTGTCAAAAGGTTGAGGATGTTCTATATATTGTGATTCCGATTTCAAATGATTTTTAAACTGTACATAAAGCCAAAACTACACAACCATTTCTCATGGTTGTGTAGAGAAATGGGGGTTTACTGTGTGTGTGTGTGTGAGGGAAGATGAAAGCATGAGTGTCATCACCAGTGAACCCAGAGTGGCTCCTTTTGAATCTTCCTTTGTGTCCCTTTTTACATACCCCTCATGCAGAAACTGTTAGTTTTTTTTAATCAATCACCTTTATTTTGCCAAGTATGTTACACACACAAGGAATTTGTTTCCGGTACATAACTGAGGCAGCCATCTGCGGCGCCAACTCACACAGATGGCTCTAACCATTGGGGGCAACCTGGGAGTTCAGTGGGTTGCCCCAGGACACTTCGACATGTGGACTGTAGGCACCGAGATTCAAACCACCGACCTTCTGGTTGGGAGACAACTGCTCTACCCACTGAACCACAGTCGCCCCCATGCACAATAGCAATCATGTTACAAATTACTGTCTCTTATGCTCGGTTAATAGTTTAATAGGAAAATTTGGTGCTATCACTATATAAAATGTGAAACATTTTCATAATCTTAAACAATAACTTTTTTTAATATACATCTACAACACTTCTTCCAAACAGTATACGCTAGACAACTAATATTGTAAGCTGACAAATACACCAGTGAGTAAGCTCTAACCCAGCATGCAACAGGCACAACACACCACACAAGTTGCCTGAAAGCTGCATCATAGGGCTGACGCCTACAGGTACACAGACACACTTATCCAAAAATTCACAACTAACGAATGTGCCTGATTAGAATCAGGGAAATCAGAGGTAATCCATTCAAGATGGTAAATTATGGAGTATTTGTGTTGTCCTTTTTTTTAATCTATAATCACTATCTTGTAATTTAACTTCTTATCTATTAATTTGGATTATTATGCAAGTTAGATAATCAGCTGATATGATGGCAGGACTAGGCATGATCTACAATCTCTTATCCACCAATTTTACATGTTTTTGTTCGTTCACGTATTTTCTAGTTTTTCTCTACAGTATAGTTTACACATAAAGACTTTTTAACATAGTCTGCTTGGGGATGTGGGCCAGTCGAAAACATGGAACCTGAAACAGACGACTAATGTAGCAATTACAAAACTGCATGGTTGTCCAAAAAAACAAACAAAAAAACAATGTCCTTTTCAACTTAAAAAGCATAATGTGTAGTACTTTTAGTGCAGCACATGCTATACCTGCCTGAAAGAACACTGAAAAACTGTTACACATAAAGAGGGAGCCATTTAGTTTTACTCAAGACACTGCGACACTTTGACCAGCGGACCAATTTGTTTTAACTTGAAGATTGAAGTCTTGAGGCACCGGTCCCTGAATATTTTGACAGTGATGTACATTTTAAGTTGTTGGTCAAGTAATTAAATATATAATTTCTTACTTTCTCACTCATTTTCATAACACAAAGTACATTCTGGGATCTAATGTTTCTGTGTCTCATTGAATAAAGCAAAGAGGTGAAATTGTGTGGCAGACACATAAGGGTTTTAAAGTTAGTGGTCATATTTCTACAGATTCTTGAATGGTCCTCCCTGTTTTTCTGTTTTATTTTTCATGCACTATTAAGGCCTAACTCAGTATACCTACTAATCTGCTAATGGCCTAAAACACAATGAAGTGAAAAACAACTCATGGAAATAGCGCAGCGGAGACAAACTGCCTATACATTTTTTTTAGTTCTCTTATCATTTCTAACAAAGCTCGAAGGACACAAAAACAATATGTGTGAGCTGATGGCCTGGCATCCACTAAAGTGCAGGTTTCCTTTTTAAAAACATGGCTCAGGAATAATGGTGACAATAATGTTAGCATTTGTCTACATTGTTCTACACAGAAATTACATTTTTGTGTCCACAAGATATTGTAACCAACATGATGGTCCTTATTTTGCATGGATATCACTTGACACAGGTGTATTGGTTTACAGAACCAATGCAAAGTATAAGGGAGCGGCACTTTGCTACTGCATGTAAACTGTTTTTATACTGCTTGTAAGGGATTGTGCATACGAGCAAATAAACGAAAAAGAAACACACACTGGACATGGACTGTGGACACTGAATAATCCTTGCGAGAGCTCCCCATCATTTTGTTTTGTTGACTGCTCCAGACATAGGAGAATATAGGCCACGCCACCTGTGCCATTACTCTGACAGCATGATACACTGTAGATGAGTGCTCACATTTAAATGTATATAATCTCTGTTTAAAAACGTAAAAAAAATGGAGCCCATGTAAGGAAATTGTATGCAATAGCATACTGAGTGTTGATATGTACATGCTATAGACTGGGGCATTTAAATAACTGATTGAAATGCAATTTTAAGTAACCTTGGACAAAGTCCTTGTTTGATATTTATAACAGAGGTAGGCCCATCATAACACTGCAAACAATAGTGTTGGATAGCCCTACACATGGTTAGATTCACCCCACCAGCTAATAATCTGTTATAGCAAAGTCAGAATCATAACAATGTTCTCTTTACCTGAAATGTTTATCTTTACTTCAAGTAATTTACTTTTTGCTGATGATTTGGGGAAACAGCTTTGCTCTGTAAGGGAATGTTTTTCTGTAGTTTAGTTTATTTTGTGTGTGTCTTTTCGTGACATTGCACTGGGTGTTTTCCTCTTCCCATGCACATGTGTACTCGGGGTAGCTGGTCACAGGGCCTAGGATTACTTTTGCAACTAACAAACGTGGTCCTGCTTCGGAAGACCTACCTGTTCTCTGGATATACAGGGTAACGAGGGTCTGCGAGGCGTTTTACAACTGCCATAATAGCTGGTCGACGTCTCCCCAAGCGAAACACAGCTGGACCTTCTCCTAGGTCTGATCACAGGGACTTTTTCCTCCGCGCTGGAGATCCCACTCGGTGCTTCCGTCCACGGATAATAACGGTCAAAACTGAGCCCCAACAGGGACCCAGAAACAGAAGGGCGGTCTGAGCAGTGCAGGCAGACCGCTCAAACTTGTGAAAGAAACAAGCCACACAATGCTGGCAAAGACCAGTATAAGGACACTGTGTTTGAGTTTGAGAGTGGGGATCAGTGTGAGCAGACCTACACATCCCAACACGAATAACAACCTGCCCACCATTTGCATCTGGTGTTGGTCCTCTCCCCACTGCAAAAACCGCAAAACCAAAAAATCCCCGAGGTAACACGATGCTGGTAGTGAAAGGAGCCAACATTTGCTGCTCTCTTTCTTTCTTCTCCTCAGGTAAAACGTTAAAAAGAAGAAAGCACATCCTATGCTGAATAAAGGACTAATGGACTGGGAGAAGCCCAACAAAAAAGTCCGCAAATCCCAAAGCAAGTCACTTTGCAAGCTCCTAGAAATGAGAAAAGAAGCCGCGAAAATTACAAACGCGCCGACGTATAGGGCAGAAACCTTAAACAGTTTTGAATTAACAATATCTTCGTTGCAAAACTTGCACACGTTAAACAAAAATCCCTTCGGAAGGTCCTGTTTCAGGGGGGTGACGCAGCTCTTCACATAGCCGTTTCTGAAGCCCTCTGAGCTGTTTACACTTCCAGCTCCGTCGTGGTGCCTTATTTTACTGTGCAATACCTCTCCTTCCTCCCGAGCAGCCATGGCTCGACTGTGACTCCTCGTATCCACTCAAAAGTCCCCCTCTTCTACTATTCACGCCGTGTTAACGCTGAACTACATGACAGCAAACGCACTCCATGGTCACTCAAACGTGCTCCAACACTTGGACTAAAGAAAGAAGGTGAGATGTTGTTTTTACAGCAACGGAGCTCTCTGTCGCCCCCAACAGGCCACAGCCCAGACCTCATGCGCTGTATCCGTCAATTATCATACCCCGACGCTGCAAATAATGAGGAAACTTTTTAAACGTTCTCATTTACTAAACTATCACTACAGTTGTAGGTTAACAGGTTTACCCTCCAATCCTTCAGATAGGCTAAATTCCTTGTGTTTATGTTATTATCAACACTGGCGAAAAGTAGGATATAGGCCTATTTAAGTACAATTTTGAGGCACTAATTTCATTTTCTGCTATACTTCATACTTTGATGTCACTATATTTCATAAACAATCATTGTACTTTTTGCTCCACTACATTTATCTGATCACATTAGGCTACATTTCAAAATCTGGTTAACTATACAAAATAGGCTAGAGTATTGTGTCTTTGAGGGTGAGAGACACTTGGTGGGATGCCCCATAATGCCTGGGGCAGTGGTTTTGTCAGGGCAGTTCAGAGTGCAGTGCTGTGATGTGTGTGCTGTGCTGTTAGTGTGTTTGAATAAAAGAGAAAAAGACAAACTCTGGTCTTCTGACCCATACTTCACCCAGCCAATGTTATACTGTTGTCAGAAGTGGGATCTCCAGAGAGAATGACATCACTCTGGGAGGTCAACAAACTTATTGTCCAGCTGGAAGAAGAGGTAACTCTACCAACCAGAGCAGTAACCCAGTAGCTGCTGTGAGATTGCAGCAGGCAGACATGGGGGAGGAAGCAGCTGTCTAGATTACTGCTAGGAGAGCAGCTGAGTGACACAGAGAGGAGTGTTACTGCTGTGGGGAGTTGGGACACATGGCTCGCTACTGCCCAGCACCTGCACCACGGAGCCCAGCACCCTCCGGACAGCTCATCTATTTGCAACCTGCCACAACTGAGAGCTGGCCACATGGGCCAGCAGCATAGACTATACCTGGACTGTGAGCTGAATGGCACCAAATGTCGTGCCTTAATGGACATGGGATCCACCATCTCGCTGATGTGCCCAGGGATGGAAGGGGCCAAGACCCTTGGTGCACCACCAAGCATCACATCAGAGAGGAGGCATAGAGTGACTGCTGCTGACCACACCACTGACCACTGATTTGGGCTGGTCAGTATTGTCACAGTATTCAAGATCCATGTATCACTGGCCTTGACCTGCTGTGGGAGTGGGGGGCCATGGTGGATGTGGTCTGGGGCTATGCTCTGCCTAGGTGCAGATGGTGTGGCTCTCCACACTGCTGTTAGGGAAGGGCTGTGCCCAACCAGAAACACTGGAACAGCCAGCCAGAGGGTCATCTACACCACTAGGGCCAGCCAGGGGCTTGTCCCCGCATATGAACCTTTACCAGGCCGGGTCTGTACAGCTGGCGAAGGCTCGTACGAGAGGAGTTACGGAAGGAAGAAGAGCTGACGAGGTCAATGCATGAATGACCTGGACACTGCCACAGGACAGGCAGCAATCTCACAGGCTGTTTCCCCCTGCAAGCAGAGGTGGGTGACAGACTTGTACCATATCTGCCTGTGGCTTCAGCTGAGGGAGAGTTGGACAATGGGAGTCAGCCATGAGCTCCAGGTCGCTCTCCACTACTAGTGGCTGTGCTGCCCAGGAGCCACCAGAGAAGACTCAGCACCAATGCAGTAATCCCCTGACACATAAGAGACTTTGCTATGACTGCGGTTACTGAGGACAGTTAAACACCCAGGTGGGGGTTGTGTAGAGTCGGGGGCGGAGACATACGTGGTGGGAGGCCCCATAATGCCCAGGGCGGTGTGTATGTAGTTTAGGGGGATTTTGGCAGGGCAGTTCAGTGTGCAGTGTTGTGTTGTGTTCAGTGTGCTGTGCTGTTGGTGTGTGTGAATAAAAGAGAAATAGAGAAGCTTTGGTCTCCCTTACCATTAAAGTAAAGATACCAAACCTAACAATGAATTTAACTTACTACACTGTGTGCACAATTATTAGGCAAGTTGTATTTTTGAGGATTAATTTTGTTATTGCACAACTACAGTGCTCTTGGTCAATCCAAAATGTTAACAAACCCTCAAACCTGAACATTTAAGTAGTAAAAGTGAAGTAAGTTTTGGCTTTCTACCATTATTAGGCAACTATTAGTGTGCAGAATTATCATGCAACTAAATAAGAAACAAAGATTTTCCCATGTCACTTTTTTATTTTCACCTGTTAAAGTGAGAATAATAAACAAACTCATAATTTACAAATAAAGAGTTCTGAAAATCCAAACAGAAAACCTCAGTGACCAATATAACCACCCTTCTTTTCAATAACAGTCACAAGCCTTCCATTCACAGAGTCAGTCAGTTTTTTGATCTGGTCAGAATCAACTTTTTGTGCATACTGGCCAGCCACGCAGTGGAGTACTTTGATGCATGTGATGGAGCGTTGTCTTGCATAAAAATCAAAGTCTTCTTGAAAGATGCAGACTTTTTCCTGTACCACTGCTTGAAGAAAGTGTCTTCTAAAAATTGGCAGTAGGTCTGAGAGTTGATTTTGAGTCCATTTTCAACCCGAAAAGGTCCAACTAGCTCATCTTTAATAATACCAGCCCATACCAGTACCCCACCTCCACCTTGCTGGCGTCTGAGTCGAAGTGGAGCTCTGTGTCTGTTACTGATCCAACCACGGGCCCATCCATCTGGTCCATCAAGAGTCACTGTCATCTCATCAGTCCACAAAACCTTTGAAAAATCTGTCTTCAGATATTTCTTGGCCCATTCTTGACGTTTCAACTTATGTGTCTTGTTCAGAGGTGGTCGGGTTTCAGCCTTTCTTACCTTGGCCATGTCTCTGAGAACTGAACACCTTGTACTTCTTGACACTCCAGGTAGGTTGCAGTTGTGGAATATGGCAGCACTGGAGGATAATGGGTTCCTGGTAGCTTCATATTTGATTCTTCTCAAATCTCTGGTGGTTAATTTGCGTCTTTTCTTCTCAACACGTTTCTGGCGACCCTGGTGACTATTTGCTATAAAATGTTTGATGGTTTTGTGATCACGCCCCAATATCTTAGATATTTCAAGAGTGCTGCATCCCTGTGAAAGGCTTTTTACAATTTTTGACTTTTCAGAGTCAGTTAAATCTATTTTTTGGCCCATTTTTCCAGAGGAGAACATTCTGCCTAATAATTATGCACACCTTGATATAGGGTGTTGATCTCCTTAGGCCACACCCTCCCTCGTTACACTAAAACACATCACCTGATATGCATTAAGTCCAATAAGCGTTCAAGTTTATACTACTTGGAGTTGGAAATTATGGATAAAATGATGATATGGTCAAAATACTCACTTGCCTAATAATTGTGCACACATTGTAATGAGTATTGTTTGTGACATAGAGCTCCATGGTCCTCAGAAAACTATTAAATATATAATGGGACCACAATGAAGCACAGGGGTGACATATTTTTTTGTATAATGATGAAAATGGCTCATGCTGATTGTTTTTGTGCAGACAGTACTTCTGAAGGATTAAATAAATTGTTGGTTTGGTGTTTTAATTTGGATTTGTTGATGGTAATAACAAAATGATAAACCAATCAGTGTCATATTAATCGTTCACCTTAATAATGTTATTTGTGGTTTTGAGTTCTGGAAGTTTAGAGAAACAACATATTCCAGAAATTTGACATTTGCTTAGATGTCTTTGATTTGCTATATATTGGTAAGTAAAGAATAGAAGACAATGTCTGAATGGAAGATTTTCAACCATTCACTCTGAGGCTAGGATTCATTCAAGTTTCTGTGCATTTACTGTGTCAGTAGCTAAGCTTCCATTGGAGGGTGCTGTTGTGCTGTTTTGGCGGCGCCCAAATGTAATTATGTTTTAGGTCAGTATTGTGTGTGGCTTTTCTACATTACACTGTAAATTGTTTGTTTGGGTTTGTGATACAGGGGTCAAGTCTGAAGAAGACTGTAACAACGTTTTTAAACATTTTGGCACAGGGCACTTCTACAAGACACTGAATTACTGTAATAAAGCTGGGGTGATGTTGAATTGAAAGCGTTTTTGAGCGCCCTGTGTTTTGCGCATTCGTTTTTTTCTGTGTATGGTGCTTGACCCTTCTGGCGCACGGTAGCAGTGATGTGGCTCGGAAAGTAGTTTTCCACGTCACTAGGAAGTAGCAGAGAGCCGAGCGGAGGCGAGGAAGCAGTTCGTGTAAAGGAGCTTCTGCAGATTTTTAGAGATTTGAATATCCAAAACTGGATATTGAAGGGTACTCTGAAGAATAAGTCGTCTATTTAGGTATGTTATATTTCTTGTATTTAACCGAGATGAGCGATGTTTTGTTTCCTTACCCTTGGTGACTGTTAGCTAGCTAACGTTACTGTCCTCCATTTCATAGCTAGACTGGGTAAAAGCTAAGCTGGCATCAGGTAGTTAATGGTCCCCAGTTAGCAGCTGAAAATATGTCTAAACTTAATATAATGGTATGAATAGTCAGCGACTTAAATGATGTCTGCGTTTTATTGAAAATTTGCTGCACAACTGTTGGTTCGTATGCAGGTAGTGCCATTAGCGCTAACAGAAGATTCAGTGTTGTCGGAGGGTGTTGTAAGACTGCGCGTCCCAGTTTCACGACTGACTTAACATTGCAACTAAGCTGATTTAGCTGTTTTTGATGCTTGTGGGATAATAGTGGTCTAGTTTTGCAGTGAAGTAGCAGGAAGTATAGCTGGGAAAATGTCTGAACCTTGTAAACGTGACATTTTATATCCTGTAAAGTTGCGTAGGCTAAATAAAAGTTCCAATTTTAACGTTACCACACTGGAGAAACCTTCAATTACCTGTGAAAATTAAAAGTATTATGTTCTTAAGCCATCAGTAGCAGTAGTACTTTATTATCACTATCAAAGCAGTCAGTGAGTAAGCTCAAATTCTATACGATGTAAGCTTCACATTTTCTGCTGCTTGTAAAATAACTTCCATGCGTTTTGTGTGTAAGATCTTAATCTTTAAACTAACTACAGCTGTCAGATTCGTGTAGTGTAGTAAAAGAGTA